ATATACGTTTTTTTTAGATAATAAAATTTATAGTTAATTTATTTATTATTACTAAGAAAAGCATTTAGTAAAAATAGTTTTTAATAATATTTAAAATATTCAACAAATCTGAATTTAATCAAATTTTTGATCCATTGAAAAATTAATACTTTATTACATTCAATAATAATATAATTTTTATTTTTTACAAATAATGTTTCTTACTATATAAAAAAATATAATTTTGAATGAAAAAATTTGAATTAGATTTGAAATGGGTTAATGAAAATTGTAAATTTATATTATTATTAAGATTGTAGAAAAATATTATAAGTTATAATAAAATAAAAATAAGAAAAAAAGTACAATATTTAATTAATTATTATGTTTAAAAAACAAAAATTTAAAACTTTACTACAAAAATTAAATTTTTGTATAATATTAAATTTGAAAGATTAAAATTTTGAAAGATTTTCGTTATTCGAAAATAATCATGCAATTTTAAATTTTAAACTATATAATATATTATTACTATTACTATTACTACTATTACTATTAAACTATAATAATGAAAAATTAATTATATAAACTTGCTCGATTGAATTCGACTATGTATATAAACAATCTCAGAATTGAATGAAAAACAAATGTGCTTTAATTGAATGATACTATATGAATGAAATATACGAAAAAATTATTTATGTGGATTAAAATTAGTAAATAAAAATTAATTATCATGCAAATTTGAAGGGAATGAAAATAGCTAATTTTTTTTTAAAATTCTTTCTAAAAAATTTCGAGAAAAATTGTCTTACTATCAAAAATATTCTGAATCTAATTTCAAAAAAATTAAAAATCAATTTCCTTCTTATTAGAATGAGTATCATATAAAATCGTTTCAACTTTTAAGAAATATTTAAATAGTAATATATCTAAAAAAATATATCTAAAAAAAAAAAAAAAAAAAAATATCGTCTAAATAAGTATTTTTCTATTTTTTTTCACTTACAACTTCCTGATATTATTTAATTAGTATTTCTATAATATTTAAATAAATTGTCAATTTTTATTCTTCAAGATAAAAAAAAATAAAAAAAATAATATATGATTTTATCATCAATGATTAGCAATATTGTATTTGATTTATGATAATCTAAATATGATAAAATATGATAATTATAATAAATATTAAATAAATGCTGAAAATTCATGTCAACTAAAAATACTAAAGGTCATGACCGATAGGTAAAAATCATTTGTCTAAAGAAACATAACATCAATTAAAGTAATTAAAACAATATTAAATAATGAAAATTTTTTATAAATAGGATAGAAGAAATAAAAATATTAATTAGCAAGAATTTTTCATTAAAAATTTTATGATCGTTACGAAAAAAAAAATGAATAATTTAAAAATTCGAATAATATAAAATGATTATAAGTCAAGAATATCGATTAA